AAAAATAAATAAATAAATAAAATCTTTAAAAAAAATAAATAAATAAAAAGTGGGCATCCTTGCCTGGTTCCTGTTCTTAGAGGGATAACTTTCAGTATTTCACCATTGGGTATGATAGTAACTGTGGGTGTGTCATATATGGCCTTTATTATGTTGAGGTACTTTCCTTCTATACCCATTTCATTGAGAGTTTTTATCGTAAATGGATGCTGTATCCTGTCAAATGCTTTCTGACCATCTATGTGATGATCATGTGATTTTTACTGTATATTTTGTTAACGTGGTGTATCACGTTGATTGATTGGTGGATGTTTAACCATCCCTAAATCCCTGGAATAAATCCCACTTGATCATGGTGTATAATCTTTTTTATGTATTGTTGTATTCAATTTGCTAGTATTTTGTTGAGGATTGTTGCATCAATGTTCACCAGTGATATTGGCCTGTAACTTTTTTTGTGTTGTTCCTTGTCTGGTTTTGGAATCAGGGTAATGTTGGCCTTGTAGAATGAGTTAGGAAGCTTCCCTTCCTCTTCAATTTTTTGGAAGAGTTTGAGAAGGATAGGTAGTAAGTCTTCTTTGAATGTTTGGTAGAATTCACCAGGGAAGCCGTCTGGTCCTGGACTTTTATTCTGGGGGAGGTTTTTGATTACTGTTTTGATCTCCTTACTGGTGATTGGTCTATTAAAATTCTCTATTTCTTCTTGATTCAGTGTTGGAAGCTGTATGATTCTAAGAATTTATCCATTTGAGTTGATTAGAGTTTTAGAAAAAGGAAAAAAAAATCTTTTGTGGTATTTCTGATGAATCTCTTGTTCTGATATTGTGAGCCTAAATTCTTGTTTTGGTAAGAAAGTAAGTAATTAGGCCACACTTTGGTAAAGAAGTCAATAATTAAGTTACTACTTTGGCTTTCTAGAATTCCTAAAATGTTTTAGAATGTCATCATAATGAACCAGGTTTATAGTTTAACCCTGTGGGTTAATTCAACATACATAATTCAACTGATCTAAAAAAAGAGTAATTTATTTAACTTGTCATTTTTCTCTTGCACTGTTAGGTTTTGTGGATATTTTAAATTTATCTGCTATAGCTTTTGATGGTTTATTCTTGGTCATAAAAGATTTACATTTAGTTATCCACTCCAACCTCCCACTTTGTTGTTTCTTTGAAAGATCAGAACAGATATTAAATCATGGCTGTTTTTGCTCATTTCTTAAAACATATCAATCATTACAGAAACCTTCTGCACTTCTAACATTTAAGAATAAATTAATTTTTCTTTTTTCTTCTTCTTTTTTTTTTTTTGGTGAGGGAGATCAGCCCTGAGCTAACATCCGTGCTAATCCTCCTCTTTTTGCTGAGGAAGACCGGCTCTGAGCTAACATCTATTGCCATTCCTCCTCCTTTTTTCTTCCCCCAAAGCCCCAGTAGATAGTTGTATGTCATAGCTGCACATCCTTCTAATTGCTGTATGTGGGACGCAGCCTCAGCAGACCGGAGAAGCGGTGCGTCAGTGCGTGCCCGGGATCCAAACCCGGGCCGCCAGTAGCGGAGCGCACGCACTTAACCGCTAAGCCACGGGGCCGGCCCAGAATACATTAATTTTTCAGTTTAACTCTTCAGCTTCTATTATTGGAGTTAATAACCTATTATACAAACTCAAATTATTCTATTCATCATTTTGATTGGACATAGGAGTAAAAGTTATTTCCCATTATCACGTACTTTAGCAATCAAAAATCTCATGATCTTAATATTACTCAATCCACATAGAGTATATTAGTCTAGCTAACTCTTAAAGAGCACTTATTTCTGGGGCAAAAAACTACTTTGTATTTGGATCCTCAGAATAACCTTACGAGACTAGGTACTGTTACTAGCTTCAGTTTCCTCTTGTGGAAATGAGGATAAGAGAGGTTAAGAACTCATACAAGAAACTACACAGCTAATATTAAGATCTGAGATAAGGGCTATTCATTTCCAAAGCCCGTGCTATCATTACTTTCTACTTCCTCCCTATAACGTGCTTTTAACTTTCCAAGAACCCAATGAGACATGGTCCTAATCAGAGTACAAAACTGGAGACTGACTTTCTGTTCCAAGCTTGCCAGTCATCTCCTCTGATCAACTCTGAGGACAGTCCTGAAAGTAACTCATTCTCTAAACCCATTATTTGTACTTGAACTGATGAGCAGAAATGCTAATGACCCCCCTAGCCACAAAAGAACACAGTAAGGAGCTATGTTCTTGATTATTTGAAAAGAAAAGAACTTGGCCAACAGCTTTATAACTTAAAGTGCAAAAGCTACAGCAGCCCTGTTCCATGGCCCACCACCAGGAATATCCATACAATGTGAAAACTACGAGAATACTGAGAACATCTAAAAGACAACAGTGAGCAAATCAGAAGTGTGATTTAAATAAAAATCTTACTGTGCCACATGGCATTTTTCTGTCATGTTTTAATTTTCATGTTATTCTCAATGTGTTATGTCACAGAAATATTGCTTGAGTCTGCTCTATATACATTTTATAATAAAATACTTGAGGAAAAATAAATATTCTAGAGTGAAACAGTAACACTGAATTAATTGAAGTCACTAAAGCAATTTAAATTAATTCTGTGAAAACAAGATTAGCTGATTTATTATCTCAAAATATCTCAGAAAATTCATGAATAATCAAAACAAACTTAAGTCACAATAAAAGCTAGGTTTATCATACATTGATACTAACTGTTTTAAGCAATAACTAGAATGTCTCTGCTTTGTCGAGATTACATGGTAATATTGGACTTTACTATATTTTGTGTTTTCAGTCACTTGAAAAATCTTAAGCACCTACTATGTGTTCAGTAGTGTGCCGAATAAGACATGCTGGGGTGTACATACTTGCACACACACAGAAATGGAGTGGGGGAGAAAGAGAGTGCGAGCATGCGTGCAAACGATAAAGTAAATGGCATAAAATATTAACAACAGATGATTCTAGGTGAAGAGTATACAGTGTTCTGTGTCCTATTCTTATGTCTATTTTCCAAATATAAAGTTTTTTAAAAGACTAAGCTATCCTCCATCTCTGACTAATGTACTATAAGAGTCAAGTACCTTCTGTGAGAGCTTTTTAACCATGGCTTTACATAATAGTTTTGAAAAGTGAAATATACTCACCTATTGTTTGGATGATAGCGTTCTGCACAATCTTCTCATCATTGTCTTTGGAACTTGTGTTTAAGTTGGCACTGCCTTCCGATTCCCCCTGTAAATCATCTGCTTCAAATTCAACGCTGAGACGCAGATGCTTCAAGAGAGTGTTAAACACTTCCAGCACTGTGGGTCCTGTAGATGATCACTGATGTTAACAGATACATGTTTCCAGTATTATGCACTCAAAATCAGTTCTCAACAGAGATTTCTGGACATTTTCTAAGTGGCTGGAAATACTTAATAATTTATGAATTAAATCAGTTCATTAAAAAAGTAAAAGAGAAACATTTAAATAAGAATGTCTTCTAGTTATTCCAACAAACATTTACTGGCTAGCTATAAGCAACTTGCTGTTTGAATCCCTGGTATAAATCACACAAAATGTGTATATGCATATATAAGATTAACAAAAACTTTCCACCTATCTCATCTTGTCTTCCCAAAATAATGTGTACGGGGACATTATTTAACTTGATTGTTGGGTCAAAATCCATAAAATTATGATAACTTGTTGTGGCATAGCAAATTTATTTTGCATCTTTTAAGACTGAAGCAAGAGGAATTTACTTCAATTATTAGACAGAAACTAGCTAATTTATCAGATTCAGGGAAGCTAAATTTGCTCTCTACTTTTAGTTATATAATTACTATGCATGTGTTGCTGTCACTGCATCTACCACACTATATTTTAATCCGTGTGTTTTATTTCTTCCTCCTACTCTTGATTACAACTTTCTCCAGGACAGCCAGCCACATTCAAATACTTTGAATGTACAGGCCCAGCACATAGTCCCTCACACATAATAGACATCACTAAGTGTGATGATTCAATGTATCATCTGTGTTTCATTTCATATTTCAAATTAAATAACTTCCCAATTAAATAACTTGTTTCCATCTCTTTAAGTTATGAGTAATGAAAAGTCCATAGCCAAAATGCCCACTCTTATTTGACACTGAATAAATATTAGAATATTTCAGTAGCTAATATATTTTTTCTCTTTGATTTTAAAGGAAAGAAACCATAACCAGATTCCCCTCCTAACTTCAGTAATTCTACTAAGGACCCTGCCATTCTTCTAATCACAAATAGGTGAAAAATCATCATCTCTGACCTGTCCCTTCTCCTTCTTACTCCCCCAGTCAGTCACTTATCAAATCCTGTTGCTTTTACATTCCCAGTCCTACTGCTGCCATCCACGTTCCAGTTCTTCTCCTCATGCCTGCAATGATGACAACCACCTATTATTTCTCATATGTCCTACATTTTGCAGCCAAATGAATTATCCTGATAAGGATTACAGTAAATCTTTAAAGAGTGTCAATCAACTGTAGAATTAGATCCATGATCCGGCTGCAACTTGAATTTAAGCCACTTCTCCGACTTCTCCACACTACCACCACACATTCTAGCCAAAAGCGCTACAAAATATTTCGCTCTTGCTAATCCATTTGCCCTCTTTTCTCTGCTATGTGATGATATGTGATCATAAGAATTCTGCCTTGTATTACCATATTAGGTAGAGTTGTCTAACTCCAAGTAAACTATTAGTTTCTTGTATCTGTGTCCTCCCAAATGTTTAGCATATAATTGGTATTCAAAAATCTTTATTAGAAAAAAGGAGGAAGAGAAGGAGAGATTGATTTGGAGGAAAATGCTTAACTGTACGCTCAAGAAGTCTGAGAATAATCACATGAACCCAAAATTTCAAGAGAAATTATAGCACATTTAAAAACATAAGAAATATTTTCAAAGAGTTTCCCACACATTGCTATACTTACTGAAAAAAAACATTCTGAAACAGATTAATGCATTAACTATTTTTTTTGCTGGCACTCACCTATGGAACCTTTAGCAGCAATGGCAACAGCCTCTAACAGAACCTGAATAATACCAGCTCGAACCCGTGGAGAATCTTTTTTACGAGCATCAAGGTGTCCTAGAATCTCCTGGATCACATGGTGAGAATACTGAGCCTAAAAGAGAACAAAATAGTACAAAGATGTGCGAACAATTATATGCATCCTGGCAGAATTCATAAGAATGAAAAATCATGCGCACTTAAACATCCAATTATAGGAGACTTGTACTCATGCTATGGAACATGTAGCCATTAAAAACCATTCTTTTAAGATTAAATAGGTATACTAGAACATATGTATGATATTCTCAGTAGAAAAAGCAAGTTGCAAAATACTATGTTTAATAAAATTCAATCTGGTTTTCTAAAAGTAAATAAGACTAGAATTATATATACCTAAATATTAATACTGGCCATCTCTGACGGGGGATTTATGAGAAGTTTTTATTCTCTTTACACTTCTCTGTAATTTCACAAAGAACATTTACACACTCTTATAATTTAATAATACGGCAAAATGTTGTTAAAAATATACTGATTATGACATTTACAGTTCTTCTCTTACCCAAACTAGATAAATACTATTTCTTATTGGATAGGCCCCTCTACTCTGTTTTTAGGCTGGTTACCTTTCTCTCCTTTGGAGTGGGTGGTTTTATATTAATAAGCAGTGTCCAACACACAATGGCTATTCTGCTCAAAAGCAAAAAATTCTCTTCCATCTATCAACATAACTAATTTCATCTCCAGGTATTTCTGGCATTTCCGTCATAACATATCTACTTCTATAACGACCCAAAATAAAAATTAAGTTTGCATTTTCTCTTTACTTTTTGCTTCATTTAAAGCAATGTTAAAATGGAGGAATGTCAGACAGATAGACAGACGCACACACAACTTGAAACTGAATTTCTTGCCCAGGGAGCTGTACGCTTTTGCAGTGTGAACCTTACGTAAACAGTCTGTCTTATAAATAAGATGGCAATTTGATGTACTGTCCAAATCAGGGCATTTCAGAAATGAATGAGAGTGTTGTTAATAATTACATAACGCAGGGCTATCCTAAGCAATGTGATCAGCACATGATCACAACAACTCAAGAATAGTACCATGTATAGAAAGAGAACATGGAGTGAAAGGAATGAAACTACAAAGATGGTACACTTTATACTGTATGTTTTTTTAATTCAGGTTTATTGAGGTATCATTTACCTACAGTAAAATTCACCCTTATACTGAAGTTTAAAGCAATATTAATGGATGAATAGCTTTAAGAAGCAACATAGGGCCGGCCCCGTGGCTTAGTGGTTAAGTGCGCGCGCTCCGCTACTGGCGACCCGGGTTCGGATCCCGGGCGCGTACCGACGCACCGCTTCTCCGGCCACGCTGAGGCCACATCCCACATACAGCAACTAGAAGGATGTGCAACTATGCCATACAGCTATCTACTAGGGTTTCGGGGGAAAAAAAAAGGAGGAGGATTGGCAATAGATGTTAGCTCAGAGCCGGTCTTCCTCACCAAAAAGAGGAGGATTAGCACGGATGTTAGCTCAGGGCTGATCTTCCTCACACACACACACAAAAAAAGAAGCAGCAACATAATATAGTGGTTAAGTATGTAAGCCCTGGAGTCAGATTTGCCCAGATTCAAATTCTGGCTCCATCGCTTAATAGCTTAATAGCCTATAGCTTGAGAGAGAGTTACTTAACCTCTCTGTGCCTCAGTTTTCCTCATCTACAATATTTAGAAAATAACAACAGTTATTTCATAGCATTGTTGTGGCAATTAAATGAGTTAATTTGTGTAAAGCACCTAAAACTGTGTCTATTATATGAAAAGCGTTCCATAACTAGCTATTCTACTACTCTTCAATTGGTGACTCCTGCAACAATATATTACTATAACACTGAACAGAAGAATAATGACAACAAAAAAAACATTTCATTCAGAAGTAACCAGGTGCCAGGCACTGTTCTAACCACTTAAACATTTAATCAACAAATATTTATTGATTCCTTAAGTTTCTTCAACTTTGTCATTTGCTTTATTACTTTACTTCTTGCAACAAACAATTCCATTTAGTAACTAAATCTGAATGCGGAGGGCAAATGAAGAAACACAAGGCTACAAAAGACCAGGAGAACAGCCTTAATTACGTCCAGACTGCCAGATCAACTTCTCACCTACTTAAATTAAAATTAAATTAAAGGATTTTAAAAGTTCTCATCACAAGGAAAAAAAATCTGTAACTATGTGAGGTGACGGATTTTGAGTAAACTTATTGTGGTAATCATTTTGCAATATATAAATATATCAAATCATTATGCTATATACTTTAAACGTATACAATGTTGTACGTCAATTATATCTCAATATAAAAACTGGAAAAAAAATTTTAAATTATCCTTCCACATCCAAACCAGCTTTATAATAACTACCATTTATTTAAAACCTATATTATGCCGGCATGCTATAGTAACCTTAACTTAATGGTTAATTTAGACTAAAAGTTCTAGAATAGAATGATCAGAATTTGAATCCTGACTTTACTTTCTAGCTCTGTGCCCTTGAATGAGCTACCTGACCTCTAAAAGTCAGTTTTCTGATCTGTAAAATGCGAATAACAATACCTACTTCATAAAGTAAGGAGGATTAAATGAGATAAAGCATATATAAGGTTATTAGCATACTCATAGGCACAGCCAGCACTTGACAAATGGTAGCTTCTATTTTAATACATAAATGAACCATTCAATGCATGCATTAAAGTTTTCTTTTCAGAAATGAGGAAATTGAAGCTCAGAGAGGCTGAATAATTTGCCCAAGTTTATACAACTAGTCAACGGCACATACAGGATGTAAATCCTGGTATGACCTATACTAAAAACTGTGCTCCTTTTTACTACCTTATCTCCTTTAAATTAATGATGACTTTTTAGGGCATTAAAAATGTAGATGGTGGGGCCGGCCTGGTGGTTTAGTGGTTAAGTCTGCGTGCTCCGCTTCGGCGGCCTGGGGTTCGCGGATTCAGATCCTGGGTGCAGATCTACGAACCCCCTCATCAAGCCACACTGCAGTGGCGTCCCATATATAAAGTAGAGGAAGAAGGACACAGATGTTACCTCAGCAACAATTTTCCTCAAGCAAAAAAAAGAGGAAGATTGGCAACAGACATTAGCTCAGGGCCAATCTTCCCCATCAAAAAAAAAAAAAAAGTAGATGGTGTAAAGAAAAGACCTAAAGTCCCACTTGAATTAAGAGCTAACTGGGTCTATTCAGGTTTCGAGGAAAACCAAAGTGGTCCTGTGCAGCAGAGAAGACTGTTTCACCATAAGGTTCTATAAAGAGTAAAGGACTTAATACATCTACTATTACATCGTAAATACTCCATAAATGGTAGTTGTTTAGTAGCAGCTATATGATGCCATATTAATATCAATTCCAATAACAGTTTATCAGTGAAATATAAATATACAATAAATGTATTAAATAAAGGCACAATAAAGAGCACCATCATAAAGTCATTTAGTTCTTTTTATTAAATATCTTTTCATCTTGGCTAATAAAAACATAAGTGGAAAATAAAAATAAATGAGATAAGAAACTAAATTAAGAACATGTTTTATACCCTACAGTGTTCTATATCTGTCTGATTACATGTTTATCGAAATAGAACCAAAATTAACTTACATAAATATAATAAATAGTTAACCAATCCTTACCTGAATGGAATACATTATAATTTTAAAGCAGTGAACTGCAAATTCATTGGGATCCCACAGTTTGTGATGATCTAAATGCCTATAATTAACAATAAGAAAAATTACTTTAGGAATTAAGGAAAAAGGAAAAAAAAGATCACAGAAGGAAAGACAGAAAGGCAAAAAGGAATGGTGAGCAATGGAAGTGAAAAACACAGAGGTTAAAATACGCACAAACGCTGACTGAATAACATAACAACATTATCTAATTTGTGGAGCTGAAAAACTAACTAAAATACTAGGAAAAAATAGATGGTTAAGACAAAAGAGTTTAACTTTGTGTTTCGAAGGAGGAAGGAAAATATTAAACTTTACATAAAAAATGAACGTTAAACTTTATATAAAAAATGAATGTTAAATTTCCTAAGAACCACTCAAAGCAGAAAAAGCATACCAAAAAATGCTTATGATTTTAAAAACCGACAGCAAACTTTTAATAAAATTCTTATATTTAATGAGAGTTTACACCCAAACCAACAGATATAAGATGCATACACAAAAGTCAACTGCACTTCTATGTATTAACAACCAAAAAGTCTTAATTTTTAAAAAGACAAAAAAATACATAAAGTTCCTAGGAATACACCTTTTATTAAGAACTTCATGAAGATTATTATAAAATTTCATTGAAAGACATTAAAGAGAGAGATATCCCATGTTCATGACTCAATATCATCAACATCTCAATTCTCCCCAAATGGAAATAATGAACTAAACATCAAAGGAAAGTTAAGACCAAGAAATATAAGTTTGAGCTTAATCAGAATGTTAGTAAATAGTTGTAATCTTGAAGACAAAAGAGAGTGTAGAGTGAGAAAAATAATTTGGGAGAAAAACAGTAAAAGGTTGAGCTGAAGCAGAGGCCAGAAAAAGAGCCATTCAGAGAGAGGAAAAAGCAGAGGGAAATGTTACAGGTCCAGTGTACTGGTTACTTCTGCAACTAGAGCTCCAACAGATGGGCAAGAAAAGTCAGACTGCAGACTGCAGTGGAACCAGGAACACGGGAGGCAAGGAGGCAGAAGCAATAACTAGATACTATTTTTTCTAGAAGTTTAGTAGCAAAGGGAAACAGAGAGGAAAAGAATTTCCAAATACTGGACCAGTGATTTTCAAATCATGTTTTTCAGACAACGTGCATCAAAATCACCTTGGGAACAACCACAATGGATTTCTGGGCTCTCTACTGTGCCTCAGCACCAAATCCATGGATTAGGGGGCCTAAGATCTTGCACTTTTTTTTTTTTTTTTGGCTGAGGAAGATTTGCCCTGAGCTAACACCTATGTCAATCTTCCTCTATTTTGCATGTGGGTCACTGCCACAGCACGGCCACCAAAGAGTAGTGTAGGTCCACGCCCAGGAACCAAACCCAGGCCACTGAAGCAGAGCGTGCCAAACTTAACCTCTAGGCCACAGGGCTGGGCCCAGATCTCGCACTTTTAATAAGCATCCCAAGGATTAATGAGCACACTAACTTCTGAGAACAACTGTCCCAGACTTATATGATTTACTACTCTTAATATCTTTCCAAAACAGGTAGGGAGTTTCATATTGAGGGGTCACTGATGCACAATAAAGAAAAGGCAGAGCTACACACTCAACTGGGTGAGATATTTGAAGGTAAAAAAAAAAAGAGAGAAATTCAATTCAATTAACCACTTCTAAAACAAGAACTGGCACAAAATATATTCAGTTTGAACAAAAACTATTTTAATTCCACAATGTGGACACTAGCGGGAGATCTGTAAGCACAGTAGGACTAAGGGGTCAAATGAAGTATAAAATTTTCCCCTTACTATTCCTTTCACTGGAACAGCAATTTCACTCAGACTTTTGAGAAGAAAACTACTTATTTTCATATATACAAAAATCATGGAAATAACTATATAATGGTATATAAAATTTCAACTAATTTGTACAATAAAACATGAGACTTCAAAGAAACTTCCAATTTCTTACTTTAAGCTACTTCTGGACAACCAAGGGTCAAATATCACTTTACTCTCTTCTATCAACTTTGGTGGAAAAGATTAAGAAACATGAAGAGCTTTTATCTTTTATCACAGCTGTTGACATTCTACTTCCAAATGTCTAATTTTATTTCCAAATGTCAAAGTTTAATTTCAATACTATTTTATAAACCTTGAGGAATAACTTAGGTGTATAAGTATGAAATCTTTAAAGGCACAGAATCAATCAATGCAAAGAACTTAAAGTTTAGAGCTGTTGGCCAAAGTCTCGTCATCTGTAGCAGGTGTCGTCACTCACATGTGACGACATTTACTTCTGGTTCTTATACTTCTTGTCAAGAATTTTATAATAGTAACCTCCTAACATACTGACCCTGGCTCAAATCCATTCTATATAGCTCATATGATTAATTTTCTCATAGGACAATTCTAGCCGTTTCATATCCCTGAGCTGAGATCTCAACCAATTACCACAGATTTAAATATAAATATAAAATTTTAAGATCTCTTTAAGTACAGGCTCAACACTCTTTCTCTTATCTTACACTAACCCTTTAACTATATCCCACCCTCCAGCCAATGGTATCAACTAATCTCTGCTCCTCACTCAAAGTCCACACTTATTCTCTGCCTCTGCTCACGCCTCTCAACCAGCTAAAACCTACTTATCTACCTAAGTCTACCTCAAAAGAGATCGCCCCCCTATCCCAAATTCAACTTGACTTCTTTGTTTTGAACCGTTATAGCACTTTTTGACCTTTTCTCATAACCCATATATTGTACTATAACTAAGGTGCAAGTCATCATGTTTGTTAAGAACTAGGACAGTTTTTGTCACTATTTGCAGATGACATGATTTTATATATAGAAAACCCTAAAGAATCCACCAGAAAACTTTTAGAAGTAATAAACGAATATGGTAAAGTTGCAGG